GGAGCCGGGCTCCTGTCACAGGCCCCGCTGAGGCCGCTCGGACTCCCTGGGAAGCAGCAGCGGGAGGGACCCTGCCCGGGGCTGGAGCCGGGGCAGGTGCGGGGCACCTTGCCCGGCCAGCGCACTTCCCGGCGCTTCCCCGTGCCCTGATCAAAGCCCGCCCCGCCGTCCCAGCCCACGAGGTTTCAACACGGCTGTGGAAACGCAACGGCTTCCTCGCCACTGGAGCCACGCACCTGCACCCCCTTCCCCCTGTGAGGAAACAGCCACCCATGCTGGTGCCCACATGATGTGCGCGCACCGGCCCCTGCATTCCCTGATGGCGGGTGTCGGACGTCCACGGACACTGGACAACCAGTAGCTGCATTCAGGACTTTTGAAATTGGGATTTTTAGATGTTTAATTAATATGGCGGTTCTCCCCACTAAATTAAGAGCTGCTGCATTTTTATCTTAGAGACCTTCACAGATCTCTGATCACCAGTGACAAGGGAAGTGATATACTTTTGTCAGCTATAGCAATGCTTTTCATAGAAAACAAAACATTGTAGTAAGGAAGAGCCAAACATTTCTTTAGCTTTTTCATGTGACTCACCATTTGTGCCGAGAGTGAATGTCAAGTTAGCACTGTGTGGTCAGCCATCCCTCCACAGACCACGGGGGACTTGGCCACAGCATGGGATCTACTGTTTTAAAGCAAGCCCATGTGATCAAGGACCAGATTTATTTTAACCAAGCTTTTGGCTTGATGTGTTTATTTTTAATATGTATTGGTTGACCCAACAAATCTCCAGTTCCTCTTGTTACTTAAAGTTTGAAAAAACACCATCTTTTATTCTTTGTAACTGTTAAATGAGAGAAGTCACACACTGGGGAGGGTAGCTGCAAGGGTTCTCAGAAAGCATCTCTTTCTGACCTGTGGTCATCTTGTGTTTTATGCAAGTGTTTTGTAGTTAATTTTAGAAGGGGTTTGCATACTCAAGAGTCTTTGCCTGCGGATTTGAAGGGCCTACGTTTTGAAAAAAATTATGTTTGAATGAATGCTTATTACTGTGGTGGCATATAGATTTGCTGTAAATGATAAGGCTTAAATTTGAGTTCATGTCCTTTTGCATAGGTCAGCCCTGGCTTGCTGAAATGGAAAATAGTTTTGAGAATAGGCTTTGATGCAGCATCAGAACTCTCACTGAAAACAGTAGCCCCCAGTGTAATTTTGGAAGCTAGAACAGACTGTGACACGATCGTTAGTAAATGGGATATTAGTGGAGGAAACGTGTCCTTGCTCTACTAGCAGGTCAGACAGGTTAGGAAAAAACTTTGTTCCAGATTGACCAGAGTTCAACTAAAAGCTACTTTTTGGGAGAGTGAAAATGGTTTTTGTGGAGCTACAGAAACACTTTCTGCTGTATGGGACAGGTTCAGCCCACTGAGGAACACAAGACAATGCAACGCGTAACTTTCCCATGTGGTCTTTTACTTGCGAACCCAGGTTTGATCTATGTGGTACACAGCAGCCTGGAAGTGTTTGCAAAAAAGCTTACTGTTCTTAGTCAGAACCCTTGAGCAAACCATTGGTGGCTGAGAAATCTGATACAAATACAATCCAAAATCTAAAGTTGTCTTTCAGTTATTTTCAAACACGCCTGATAACCTGCTGGGATATAAGGAATCATCATAGACTGACCATTACTAACAGTCGGTTCATTTGTTCTTTGCAGAGATGCAGAAGATGCAGTTTATGGGAGAAATGGGTATGATTATGGAGAGTGTCGATTGCGTGTTGAGTTCCCTAGATCATACAGAGGACGGGGTGGAGATTTTGGTGGAGGACCCCGGGGAAGGAATGGCCCTCCATCACGACGTTCTGAATTTCGAGTTCTTGTTTCAGGTAAGTTGTATTCCACACTTGAGACTATTTTGCATTGTATCCTTGTCCTGGGGAGAAAGAAGTTCTCATATTGCTCTGCTGATTTAAAGTTTTTCTTATAACATGAACGTCTTCCTATAAAGGAGTGTCCCACTGCTGGTAAAGGACAGAAAATCCTGTCCGGTTTGATTCATGAAAGAGTCGTATCTTTTGGAGCTCATATTAAGTGAATGGTGAGCAGAAATGTCTTCACAGATCCAGATGTGACCTCAGCCTTGGATTCTGAAGAGAGCCAGCATATTGTGAGTGGGTAGGTAGGCAAAGGGAGGGAGAAGAACTTGGGCACCATTTTTCTATGAAGAAAATGTTTCGGAGCTAGGTGGAACTGTTTCCAACAAATCCCATCATTAAACAAAAAGGATTTGTTAGAGCAAATGATGCTCAGATAGACTCTGACATTTTGTTTGTTTAAAAAAATACGTATTAAACTGATCTACATCTCAGCAGCTCCACACAATCTACTCATTATTGGAGAGAATGACTCTAAGGGACCTAGGATGGGAGCCCTCCTCAATCAACAACCAGTGGGATCTATTTTAAACAACTTGGAAAGGCCATCCAGGTAGTGATTTGTCATAGGACATATGGGTGGAGAGGGCTTTTTGTAGGAGGGACTAGAAAGGTCTGCAGTGCAGATCAAAAATGCGAAGTGAAATTCAGCACTTACTGAATTTTTAAAAGGAATCAGTCCTTTAATTAAAAAAACAAACAAACAAGCCCTCCTGCTGCCAGTGCTTATACCCATGCATCATGTCAAAATACAAGTTGCTAAATTCTCACTTCTCTGCTTGCCCCTGTAACTTTCTAGCTATAAAAATTCCCTGTGTGGAAACTACTCCAATAAAATACCTTTGGCACCCTAGAAGGATTGGTACCTTAATCATTGAAACAGAGAGTACACCTCCTCTTCAAGAGTGAGGGCAGAGGAGAATAACTGTAACTATGACCATTATGGAAATCTTCTGTGCTAAAAGGCACTATAAAGCATTCCTTAAAAATACCAGGCCCCATAGCACACTGGATTTTCCAGTGCATGCTCGGGAAACCTCATCCTTCGTCTTCACATGGGAAACTTGCTGCTGGTTACAAGCTTAACTCCAGAAAGTTTTACTCATGACTGGAGAATGAGCTGCTGGAATCTCAGGATGAAAATTAATTTCTGATATGAAGGGGACCAGCCTGTCCTGGATGGGAAATGGAGGTTGAGTAACTCTTTTAAAAAGTAATAATCTACTTTTGAACAGAATCTTCATTTCAAATGTACTGGGTTGAGGGGTAGATTTAAGTTACTTTGCAGCAGCAAAAAGAGCGGATACTTCTGAACTCTCAGCACTTTGAATTCCAGAGAGACCGATCACCAATTTTGGAGGACTCAGCTACTTGTTTTCTGGAATGGAACTTAGCATTCTTGGATTCCTGTGTTCTCGTTGCAGTGTTCAACCTCAGGAAGAGTGAGAAAGCATATGGAAGTGATGGAGCCCTTGGCATGGCAGGGTCAACGTATCTGGCTCAACCAGAGTAGATGGCTTTCTAGTTTACATGGTCTGTTATGTTTTGTGTTCTCCATGCTCAGGGCTTCCTCCATCAGGCAGTTGGCAGGACCTGAAGGATCACATGCGTGAAGCTGGTGATGTTTGTTATGCAGATGTACAGAAAGATGGAATGGGTATAGTTGAATTTCTCCGTAAGGAAGATATGGAGTACGCACTGCGTAAACTGGATGACACCAAATTCCGATCTCATGAGGTGGGTTCGTGCCTTCAGGGGAAGAGCATGTGTGTATGCAGTCATGGAGAAGCATACATTTCTTTCCGTGCCATGCTGCTCTCAAGAGACGTAACAGCAGAACCTTGGAGCTGGTGATTAATTGTAACACACTTCAATAATTTTGAGAGGTTTAGCATTTGTGAAACATACCTCACAGTGGCTCAGTATATTATGGTCTGACAGCACATTGAGGAAATCTAATTTTGGATATTTTTAAATACATAACCGGAAGGACAAGGCGCACACGAGCCTGTTTGTGAAAAACATGAGTTCTGTTTGGTACGTCCTTTGTGTGGAAGCAAAAGGTTTGGACTGCTTGCTGCCAGCTTGTTTTTGTGTACTTCTTAAGGGCTTAGTAGCGCAAAGCCTTCTTTCAAGTAAGTGAGCTCAGCTCACCACTCGCAGCTGGAACAAACTTCCTCATTCTCCCAAAGGATGAGCTGGTAAGCATCTGTACAGGTTGCTATGGCCGTCTTTTTTCCTCCCCAGTATGGAGCATCATTTTGTGGCAATCTCTGTAAGGTTCTGATGTCTAAACTAGTAAGTCACAGCTGTCTTGTTCTTAGAGCTGTGCTACTTCACTGTATCCACCTTTTCCAGTGGCTGATTTGTTCTGCTTCAACCATCTCTGGCAGTTGAAGGTTGAGTATTTGCTGTGGAGATTCCCCTACTGGTACATGATTGTGACCAGGGCTTGGCCTCTCCGTACTGTGCTAAAGGATCGTATTGGCTTCTATAGCTACTATCCTCCAACATTTAAGGATGGAGTTTGTCCATTCCTTCACCTCCAGTCAGACCAGCTTCCTACAGCCTCTTCCATTTGATTGAACTAGGAGGAACTTGTTCAGGGTTTCCTGTTCCAGCTGTTGAGTCTCTGCCCTTTAGAGACGAGGATGATAGCTAACAAGATATTCCTTGCTAGTACAGGTGCAATATTTTATAAAGTATGCTTTCCTCCATAAGCATCAAGTATCAGAGCTGAGTTTGTCCTGAGCAGCAGTTGAACTTAGTAGAATCTTTGTTTATTTATGTATTGGTCCTAGGCTCCATTTGGTGTTGTTCATACTAGTGAAGAACTGTTAATCAGGATGCAGTATAAAAAAATTGGGTTTTCTTCTGTTTAAATTTCAGGGTGAAACTTCCTATATCAGAGTCTGTCCTGAAAGAATTTCCAGCTATGGCTACTCACGGTCCCGTTCTGGGTCAAGGGGTCGTGATTCTCCATACCAAAGCAGGGGATCACCACGGTACTCCTCCCCCTTCAGGCCATACTGATTGCATCCAACAACAGGGACTTCTTAAAATGTGAACTGAGCTTCTTTCTGCTCGGAATTTACATTCCAAAACTGATGGATAGTTTTTCGTAGGAACTCTTTTTTTTATTCAATAAAAATCTTTTTTTTATGATTTACAGTTCTTACTAGGGCAATGTTGGCAACACTTTGAAAAGTTGCAGTTTCATTTTGGTGTTTTGTTTGAAAACATGTCAAGGGTTTATTTTTTCCCTCCTAGCTGAGGAAAAGTAAACTCAAAAACTTGTGCAGTTATCTCCTGGCCTGCAGGATGGTGCTAAACAGTAATGGAGTGACTGTACAGCTCAGCCTGTTGTGTAGAAATATATTTAAATGTTTTAGTAACTCACCAGTGGTGGTTGTCTTTTATGTGAGGATTGTATTAAAAAGAGGTGGGAGTAGATGCAAGCTCTGTCCCATGCCCACTGGGTACCCATCTGCTTAAGAAGGGAGAACAGTTTTCAGTAGCAAAATTATGCAGTCTAGGGTAGCAGAGGGAAAAACAGTGCCTGAAGACATTTTCTTTTCAGAGAAACTAATCCTATTTCAAAAGAGGGAAAGCTTACTGCATTAAGAGAAAAAGAAGATAGCAATTAGAATGCTGCTAAGTAGCTTGTTAGTTGCAGGTTTCCGTGTTTGTTTGGTGGGTTTGGTTTTTTTTTTGGGGGGGGTTGTTTTTTTTAAACACATCAACCAAGTATTCTCTATGCTTGTAATAATCTAATTTGGTTTATAAATAACTCAACTACAGTACAGAAAAAGCTACTGGCTTCAGTTTCAGATAAATGGTAGAAAAAAGAATTGCGTCTAACTATCACACTACTCAGTGCAGGCCTACAACTACTGCTTTCCTTGCATCTCAAAGCAATTTATAAACAAGACAGCATCACTGTCACTTCCAAGGTGGAGAAAGTGATTTGCCCAAATTGCTGAGGCTAGAACACTGGTCAGGTTCCAGTCTAGTTTCTACTAGGTACATTGCTGAGAATGGCAAAGGCATCTGTTAGCTTTCTGCTAATGGCATCTATTTGCACCTTTTAAGGTTGCTGAACTGCTTCAGTTCCTAAAATGTGTTCTGACATCACAAAGGCTATTGTGCATGTCTAAGTGTAGCACATTTATTTAAGGCAGGCTCTGTCACACTAGAAAGTTTCA